TTGCCAACGTAGCAGCCAATCTCTTCGCCACGCCAATTGGTCTCGCCCGCATTGTCCAAGCACTCGCGTGTGATCTCCAGCAGTTGGCGCTGCATAGGATCCATGCGCTCAATCTCTTTCTCACCACATGTAAAGTACGAGGCATCGAACTTGGTGAGATCGTTGTCGGCCTGGCTGAACATGTAGGCCTCCTTGTTCTGAACGGTTCCCCATTTCGCGACAGGGCTGTAGAAGCCCTCGCTGTTCCACCTCTCTTTGGGAATGGGAATGAGACCGCTTCGCTTGTTCATCATCAGATCCCAAAAGTCCTCGGTGTTGCGGACACCGCCGGGTAGCCTGACGGCCATGCCCACGATGGCGATGGGATCTGAGGCGTCCATCTCGGACGACGGCGTCGTGATGCCCGACTTGGGTGACATCGTCCAATGTTGTCAATGTGAATGAGTGATAAGATTCCGCAACGCCTTAGAACTTGAAGTCAAAATGTGCGATGGTATCGTAAGGTTTTACGGTGTATCCTGCGTGAGTAGCAAGTTACTTCGACGCTAGAAAGAGCTTCTTAATACAAGAGACGAACAAGATGTTGACGATAGGGCATTCGGTCTAATGCGTCATTCCACAACATCACCCGATTCGTCCACACCGAAGATTGCGAAAGTCAGATACCCAATTCCGAAAAGTTACAAAGAATTGTTTGTTCTGATTGGCCGTCTGATTGGCGTTGATTGTGAGGTGCTCGTGGCCTGGCCCCTGCACAAAGCGCGGTCCGAAGACCGGATGGCACACCCACGTCAATTCCGGAGACGATGGACCACTCCGACTGCTCACTTACGGACGGATAGGTGCTAGTAACAGGTGGTATTCACATTTGCGATCACTGTAGTCGCTGGGATCGTGGTGTTTGTTGAAGATCATGTTGACTCTGGCATTGCAGGTAATTTGACGTTATCTGGAAGCATCACCAGGTCTAACATATTTCATTCACCTGTCGTAGGTCAATCGTGCTTGTCAGTCTTTCAAAATTTGTCAATTTTGTCAATTTTGCTGTTCTCAACAAAAGCTATGTCATCCAACCTCCCCAGCGAGATGAAGGCCATCATCATCCAGGGCCGTGGCGAGGCCGCAATCACCACGGCCCCTCTACCAAAATTGAGGGATGGCTACATCATGGTGAAAACCACAGCTGTTGCAATCAACCCATCGGATTGGAAGCATATTGACTTCATGTGGGTTGGAAACCCCACAGGCACACGTCCGGGACTAGAGTACTCCGGCGTGGTCGTCGAGGTGGGCAACGGCGTGGATAAGGACTTCAAAGTTGGTGACAGGGTTTTCGGCATCGTCAACGGATCGTGAGTAGTGACTACTTGATACGTTAGGCAGTTTACTGACGCGTTTGAAGAAACGTGCGACAGAAAGAAGACGGCGCTTTCGCCGAATACCTCATCGCCAAAGCCAGCCTTCAATTGAAGATCCCTGATCATGTGGATGACACTGAGGCTGCAGCAATTACCTCAGGTCTCGTAGCAGTGGTAAGTGTGCTCGCAGGTGAAGCCATGGAACGTTACTCATCTGTGATGTAGGGTCAAGGACTATACCAGTCCCTTGAACTTCCTCTGCCGACCAAGCCGTCGCCTAAGCCCATCCCGCTCCTGATCTACGGCGGCAGCACAGCATCCGGTATTATGGGCATCCAATTCGCAAAGATGTCTAACTGCACTGTTGTGGTTACATGCTCACCCAAGAACTTCGACTACGTCAAGTCCTTCGGAGCTGATTTTTGCGTCGACTACAAAGCGGAAGACTGCTCAGAACAGATCAAGACATTCACCAAGGGAAGACTGAGGCACGCATGGGATTGTATTGCAACAGCTCAATCCGCCCGCATTTGTGCAGCTGCAATGTCAATCCGGGGTGGTCACTACAGCAGTCTGTTGTACTTGGTGCCTTCCATTGTCAAGAAGATCAACCCCAAGGTGAACTGCTCAACAACGCTTGGGTACACTATTTTAGGGGAGACGATTGAGAAGGAAACAGTTGTCGAGCCCAGGCCTGAGGACCATGAGTTCGGGAAGATGTTCTGGGCTTTGAGTGACAAGTTGCTCCAAGAAGATAAGTTTCGCCCGGTGAGGCAAATTGTCAATGAAGGCGGTTCAGGGCTGGAAGGCGTGTTGCACGGAATCAAGTACTTGAAGCAAGGCAACGTCAGTGCAGGAAAGTTGGTGTACACTATTTAAGCTTAGATAAACTCACGAATCGAGTTATTCAGTTACTATATCTGAGAGTGTTTTTAAATTGCGCTCATCACTGTATACATCAAGAATATTTCAAACGCCAGTCTTCCATTCAAAGTTCTTAAAGACAACCAGACACTGACATCAACACGTTCCCTGGGCGCTCGTGGTGACACGACGGGTGGTGGACCACCAAACGCATGACTCAAGCCCCCGGCCACCTGCCCAAAATCGCTATGAATTTTCATGATTCGCTTCGAGATTCGCCCTTTCCGAGCGGACCGTCGCACCGGAGTCAAAATTGACCCACTTCGCCCACCGTGAGCTACCAGACTCTTTCCGGTGGCTCAACTGAGGCTCCATGATCTTGGGGAAACCTGCAGGAATAGCGGACGCATTCTCATATTGTGGACTTTCGTACTCAGGTCGGCCTGAATTCCGCGGCGGCAAACACACGTCTCTGCAACTAGCACTCACCATGTCAGCAACGAAAGTATCAACAACCCTGCCTACCCCAGCCACAGGGGCATCTGAGGGCAAGCTCACGACTGGTGATGAGCCACAGTTTGTGGTACCCTTCGCCACAGTGCTCTCATCTTTCCAAGAAACAAAATCAAACACCGACAACATTGTTACGGAAGCCGGATTCGCAGGGTACTACGAGAATGTCCACGAACGTCAGAAGAAGCTGATTGTACTCCTGATCATCAAAGCATTTCAAAAACTACGATGTGACGTTGGAAGGACGAAACCAGGACAGAAGCTACGTCCAATCAAGTCTGTTGCCAATGTCCAGAAGCAACTTGAGTTCTGCTATGACTCGCTCATAGACGCCGGTCTCATCCGTAAAGAAGGAGACCAATATGTTCGAACGAATGCGCCGAACCCACCTGGCAACGAGAAGGAGGCCCTTCAGGCAATATTGAACGACTACCCAACATACACGTCACTCAACAAACTGGTGGCACATGCAGGTAACAATCTCGCGGAAATTTACGCCGGCCGGACGGACGGCGTGAGATCGATTTTCGGCTCGCCAGAGGGCCGAGAGTATCTCGAAGACATCTATGGAGCCGCACATCCCAGCAAAGCCTTTCACAAGCTCATGGAAGACTTCATGACCCGTTTCACGAAGAATATTGACGTGCAGTCCGGGGCCCAACTGAAGATCCTCGAGCTCGGCGCTGGCACAGGCGGCACGACAAAATGGCTCGCGCCACTGCTCGCCAAGTCTGGTGTGCCGGTAGAGTACACATTCACGGATCTTGCCGGTGGTTTCACTGCCCAAGCTGCGCGGAAGTTTCAAGAATATCCATTTATGACCTTCCGCACGCAAGATATCGAGAAGCCTCCGCCCGCGGAGTTGATTGGAACTCAACACATCGTGATTGCGGTAAACGCCGTCCACGCCACTCCCGATATGGTCAAATCACTCCGCAACACGCGACAATTCCTTCGTCCGGATGGGTTTGCGGTCGTGATGGAGGTGCAGGAACGGCTATGTTGGGCAGACTTTGTGTTCGGCCTATTCGAAGGCTGGTGGCTATTCAAAGATGGCCGGACACATGCGACGGCGGATGAGATGGTGTGGAAAGACTCGTTCAAGGCTGCTGGCTTTGGCCACGTTGACTGGACTGGGGGTAATTTAAGAGACTCGGGTCTTCAAAGGGTGTTTTTGGCTACCGCATCAGACAGCCCGTGATTCTCTTTGCGTACTGCGCTAGATCAAGACTCAATATTACAAGGCCTTCTAACTTCACTGTACAATAACAAAATGGGTACTGTCGCTTTCACTGTCGTGTGTAAGATCGCTTTGGGTCACAGGAGACCGATCTGGATCGCTACTGAGCACAATAGGAAACGTTCTCTGTCAGGCAGTTTCAGATCTTCGTTCAGACGGAAGTTTTGCTTAAGTCCCCGTGTGGGGCACGCTCCTGCTTGAGATGCTACTCTCTGTAGAGCACGTGTATTGATACTCCGTATTCCCAGTTGATCAAACTTCTTTGCTGATGGAGGACTAAGATAAACCCCCTCTTATTCTGACGCAAGCCAGAGTTGATGGTTTGTTCGATTGGCTTTGCGCTGTTGGCAGTCCAGAAGATGTCAGAGTGTGTTCAATCGCTGTCAATCAACCCCCACAAAGCTGCAGTTTCCCCTCTCTGGTGTGGTGGACACTTGGGATGATCGAACTCACTTTTCTGTTACATTCATCTTAACCGAGAGTATCGCCAGACATGGACCGGCCAGGACGTATGAAGTTAAGAGTTTGTAACGATATGTCCAAAGTTTCATCTCTCCCTAAGCGAAGGTTGCCGCAATAGCCGATATGATCTGTACATTTACGTCCCATAGATGCTACGTACAAAAAAGGTTTTGGAACGTCTGACTGGCGGCTAAATCGCAAACCTTGCTGCCTTTCAAGCAGTCCTAGGGTATCCTTACTATGCCGTCCTCGTTCAATATTCATCCTGGTTGGCGCCTCGGGAAAGAAGTGCCAACTGATGCTCGGGCGCGATTCCCTTGGGGTTAGGCGAAGGATACTCCCGCAGCTATCTTCGTACGGATCTTGAATTTGCATTTCAGCTTCCATATCAGTTTTTTGTGTCGGTATTTTCAATCAGAAAGCGAAAGATCCCGCCTGTGCAAGGTCACAACTGGGTCAGTCGCATATCCATAGTGTTCGACAAGTTGTGATCTTGTCTTGCGTTCATTTACTCCCTGTCGCTTGGGAAGTTCTCGGAGTAGCAACTGTCATTGAATACCAAGATGTTTCGCGAGAAGGTTCGCGAAAAGCGCGCCGAAGAGGTCAACATTGAGCTGCAGGACGATCAAGGAAACGTCGTCGTTGATTGGGACGGGGAAGACGACAAGAGCAAACCTATCAACTGGCCCGCATTGGACAAGTTCATCAATGTCGGTCTTGTGAGTATTCTCACGTTCATTGCGTAAGAGTCCCAGCCCTTAAATTCATTTCATGATGGCATCACTCACAGCGAAGTAGGTCTGTGGCGTCTGCCATGTGTGCTCCCGGTGTTCCAGACATTATGGCAGAGTTCCACAGCGACAGTCAAATTTTATCATCATTCATAGTATCCATTTTCATCTTAGGCTACGCCGTGGGCCCAATGTGAGTTTCATTAACGTGCCATGCAGCTTTTGTACGTGTCTCACATGAAACCAGAATGTTTGCACCTCTGTCCGAGGTATACGGAAGAGCCGTCTTGTATCATATCTCCAATGTCACGTTCACTCTTTTCAGCATTCTAAGCGCGGTATCACCAAACCTGGCGGCACTTATTATCTTCCGCTTTCTCTCTGGCGCGTCGGGCGCAGCTCCGCTAGCCATCGGCGGTGGAACCATCGCGGACCTCATCCGACCGGAGCGTCGTGGAGTGGTTGTATCCGTCTACTTCGTTGGGCCCATGCTTGGTCCGGCCATTGGTCCCGTGGCTGCTGGGTACATCACTCAAGGCCTGGGATGGAGATGGATCTTCTGGTTGACAGCCATTCCAGTAAGTCACAATTTAGCTGCTATCGTTCGATCTGTGCAATTAACATGCTGTGCACTAGTCGGGCGCGTTTACGGTCATATCCTTTTTCGGGCTGCGTGAGACATATCCTCCGCGACTCTTACAGAAGAAAGCCGCTACTCTCCAGAAACAGCATCCAGAACTCAATTTTGTCGTCCCTGGCCAGATGACAGCTGCGCCAGTCTCGACTTTGCTCCTTAATGCGCTAATCCGTCCCTTAAAAATGTTTTTTCTCAGTCCTATCGTCCTCCTTCTTTCTACAATTCTGGCACTAGCATACGGGTACACTGTAAGTCATCAAGTCCCTGTTAGATGGTTCAACTTCCTCACCAAATGTCAGTATATCCTTCTCACAACTTTCACGAATGTCTTCACCTCGGAGTACGGCTTTACAACCGGAACTGTCGGCCTAGTTTACCTCGGGTTGGGCGTTGGCTTCAGCATAGGCGCCATCAGCAACGGAATATTCAACGATCGCATGGCCAACCTTCGGACTAAGAAAAACAATGGAAATCGCATGCCAGAATACCGCCTGCCACTGATGGCACGGTCTATTCTACTTACTCCCGTGGGGTTATTCTTCTACGGATGGACGGCTCAGTACCACTTGCACTGGATATTGCCCATACTTGGGTCTGCCATCCTCGGTGTCGGACTTATCTTAGTAATGGTATGTCCAAACACCATCGTACTGTTTCTAAGTTTCTCACCCAAACGCAGATGCCGCTGCATACGTACCTCATTGATGCATTTACCAAGTATGCCGCGTCAGCAATTGCAGCAGCAACCATCTTCAGGTGTATTGTCGGCACATTTTTACCTTTGGCAGGCGAACCTCTTGTTGACCATCTGGGTCTTGGATGGGGTAGTAGCCTCCTAGGGTTCATTGCATTGCTGTTTTGTCCGGTGCCTGTCCTGTTACAGAGACACGGAGAACAAGTGCGCGCACGCTTCCCGGTGAAGTTGTAGATAATTGCATGAATGCACTTTCAGAAGCATTCGTACACTATGGGAATCAGTACCTTATATCGAATACAACTCAACTGCTCGACTTGCGTGTGTACTCTAAAGAAGAAGAATATGGAGCAAAATTGTAGTTCAGATTTCCATGTTGTGAGAGAATTATCTGCACTTTGATCTACCAAGTCTTCGCTAGTGCAATCGTCATGTCCTCCGCAATAGTTACACAAGGTGTGTACTCAATATCAAGGTGAGAGTTGATCGTGAAAGGGTCGTCCGTATGCATATTGATCAATACATGATCCGCGCAATGAACAGAATGATTCCAGTTCACTGAGTAACCCGGAACCATTGTTCCCCATCGAGCTGCACTACTAAGAATTTTCCAAGTCGCAACGCAGTGCCAACGATGTAAATCCATAGAAACCCATTTGATGTCATGCGTTCCCTTTCTCACGTCTGGGATGGATATTAGGCTAGTCGCATTCTGATCTTCAAAGAATTGCCACGGCCACACATGTTCGAACTCATCTATGAGCTCAGGGGACGAACAGGCTCGTGGCATCCAATGCAGAAGAACATCGTCGTATATACAGCCTGCAGCTATGGCTTTCTCCGGAGTGTCTCCGCATTGAGCGGAAGGTGCCCAGGCTCGAAAACGTTGGCCTCTGTCGATGACTGTCCATTCTGGTACTGAGACAGAGTTGTCCGTTGGGAAATGCCAATGAGACATCATGAGATCAACAAGAAACCCCGCGAGAACTCCTGCGGAAACGTAAAACACGCCTTCGCAGATCTTTCTCCATGGCCGGCGTCGCGCGTTGCGGTCAACTGCCTGTTGTGCTGCCAATTCCTCAAGTATCTCGTCGTCGTGGCTACTACCCCTCGAGGATAGCAGTCGCTCTTCCGACCCTTCGTCTGTGTGGTGAGAATTTTGAGACATTGCTCTGCTTGTGATGGAGATGGATCAAGCAGAACGACGAGGTGCGGCTGTCGCCCTAAGATTCGACGTGTGTGATACCTTGCTCTCTAAGTCTAAAGAGTTGAACATGGGTCGCTTATTCGGAGAGAAAATCCGACATACACACCGTCCCCGCGCGGGCTCGCTCTCGATACTTCCTGAGTTGATTGATCACCAGAACCTTGTATTCTGAGCGCGGGGGGCATGTACTCGAATTAGCTCCCGCGGCGGGAAGCTTAACCAAGAAAGCTTGTCTCATAAACGCTTATATCCCGAGTCCCATGATCCTTGCTGCATGTTGTAGCTCTGGCTACAGCGCAACCCCGCAACGGCTTCGAAAATTCCAATAGCAGAATATCTGCTGCTCATATGGCTGACATCACCGTTAACAATAGACTACAGTACACTAGAGTTTGAGAGTCGGGATCCCGCACCGAGGCTATGTCTATTACAAGTGTAGATGCGAGAGCGTTGAGCTCCGAGTGCGTCGTGCGGTGGGAAGGTTCGCTGTAGGTGTTTTAGTCGGGGGAAAGACTGGCGCTTAGTTTCATTCTACAAGGATTACATTAACTTGCACATTGCTTTCGTTATCCTTCTCGCTGCTGAATCTATCTACGCTACTATGGCTTCTGTCTTTTCTTTCTATTGACTGCTGCACCATAGCATGGCCAACCGTAACGACATCTCCAGCCCGATGATGCCTCGGAGCATCGCCCTCCCGCTGTGCGTCAAGGTACTTCTCTTTCTCATAGGGTCCGCAACCTTTGTTATCGTCAGCCTCATTCTGGCAACTGATCCATCAGCCCAAGTCGAGGACGTCACCGTTGGGCATACAAAAGGTCTGGGCCTTGTGACCGGTCTCATGGCAGACAAATGGCCCTGTGGCAGAGACAGCTCCACGGCAAAATCTCGAGGATGCATGTTCGAATCCTACACGGCAACATGGCAGCCCCCCAACTGTTTCGATGCCGCCCTGGATGCGGAGTTTCGCTCCGTCAAGCCATGGACCTTCTTCACGGATCGCAATGCGACCACGCAGCTGTCATGGACTGACGTGGAAGCGGGAACGAGTGCACAGGCTTGGACGACGTGGGAGTTCCATCTCTACTCATGCGCATTTATCTGGAAAAAAGAGGTGAAAATTGTCCACGGGCTTGTGTCTGGAACCATCGACTACCACCAGTGCCTCGACCACGCACTGATGCAGGACTATGCGAGACCGAAAGAACACGTCAGCATCCCTTACTGGCCGCGATTTACTTCTTGCAGGCCACCAAGCGACATATCGGTTCACCAGTTTGACCTCAGGCCAGGGGCGAAGAAAGGGTCTGATCAAGGGGGAAGCTTGCTGATGTCCATGAGCATTCGCATCTCCATGGGTCCAACAAGGAGTTCGATCACAGGGGCTGGTAATTGTACAGCATGTGGAATCATTGTACGAGAATTGTTTCTTCATCAGAAAGTTAGGGCGCGACCTCTGTACCAGGGGTATGTAGGGTATGAACTATTATTAAGTTGCAGGTTAACAACAATTTCCTGAATAGGCATAAGTCATTAGGTCGTTTGATGCTCGAGACCCGAGTCAATTATGCCATACTGGAGTATGGGGTGGTGAGTAGTGATCAGCTACTATTACGAAGAAACCAATGGTTTCCCGAGACAAGTAGACACATGATTATGAGCCTCAGCTTCACGTCCACCGTGCCGAAACCGAAATTATATTGTCCACTCACCATTCGAGTTGTACACGAACCAACCTTGATGTGTTTGGAAATTTGCCTTCCGCGGGAGTTTAATCCAAGCTGTTAAGCATCCCACCTGCCCCAATTTTGACTTCCGACCTCCCACACGCCAAAATTGGGTTTCAGTATGCGGATGTAGGAAGCCTCCCCGGCGTCTAGATAATCTACGTATGTTCGATAGTTCTGTACCATATTGAACGGAACCAAACAAAAGGCCTCGTTTACACGGCAGATGTGTAACATGCTTGTTGAAGTTACGATGCTACGGGAACTTCGAAATACACCGACTCTACTCTGCGGGTTGAACCTTAGTCAAACATCGGTAAGCTCCGGTGAAGGTGACCAATCCATTACAACAGAATCACTAATGGCATGTCTGTTGACGTAGCGGACTTGTAGTTCGGCAAATATAGTTGGCGAGGTATCAGATACCGACAGCATATATGAACACACATGTGCACGAACTAGCCTACGTGGAAGCGATCTTCAGATCAGTGCTATCAACATATACAACAACAACAACAATACAACGAATTGAAACATACCAATCTCTTCACCGCACAACATGAGAGTCTCAACCATCATCTCCATCGCCAGCTTGGTGGCTGCCTCCTTCGCTGCTCCAGCGATCCAACGAGACGAAAAGCGTGGTTTTGTGACCGATGACCTTGGTATGTCTACGTCTTTCTCCCGGACTTCAGGCATGCAAGACAGCAAAGTACTGATAAATGAGTCAGATCCTCGGTCTTTTGTCACCGAGGATAAGAGGAGCTTTGTGACGGAGCCCGAGAAGCGAGGATTCGTAACCGAGGACAAGCGAAGCTTTGTCACTGAACCTGAGAAACGCTCATTCATCACCGAACCACACAAGAGAGGCTTTGTTACTGAGAAGAGAAGCTTTCTGACTGAGCCAGAGAAGCGCAATTTTGTCACCGACAAGAGGGGCTTCGTGACCGAAGACAAACGCAGCTTTATTACGGAGCCCGAGAAGAGAGGCTTTGTCACCGAGGACAAGCGCTCTTTCGTCACCGAGCCCGAGAAGAGAGGCTTTGTCACCGAGGACAAGCGCTCTTTCGTCACCGAGCCTGAGAAGCGAGGGTTTGTGACGGAGGACAAGCGCTCCTTTGTCACTGAGCCGGAGAAGAGAGGATTCGTGACGGAGGAGAAGCGGGGGTTTGTGACTGAGCCGGAAAAGAGATCGTTCATCACGGAGCGTGGCTTCGTCACTGAACCGGAGAAGAGGTCCTTCATAACTGAGAAGAGGGGTTTTGTTACTGAACCCGAGAAGAGGGGCTTTGTTACCGAAGATAAGCGATCTTTCGTCACCGAGGACAAGCGAAGCTTCGTTACCGACGACATGGAGAAACGTGGCTTCATGACTGAGGAAGACATGGACTAAAGGCCTGACATTTGGCGGAGTTCAGATTGAACATCTCCTGTCTTGTTTGGAGCGAAATAAGATGAACTGCACTGTACGTCAAAAGGATAGTCTTTCGTTTCGATCTATTGTAGAAACTGTCACTCCCTTACTTCGTTGTATCCGACGCGATGCGCATCTTTGAGTGAGTGCAACGTAATAACCACGTCAGCGCAAGAGTGAAATATCACCATTTGCAATTCGTGCATAGCATCCGTTGACCTCCCCACTTCTATTTGTCCGTTTATCAAAGTCTGGTCTAGCCTTCTATCTTATTGAAACGGTTTGCAGGGGGGGGAAGCTACTCAGTGTCACCGGTAAGCCAGATTTCATGGCCGTTTCCTTCCTTAACAATCCTGCTATTCAGGCATCCCACTGCAGCTACTGCGCTGGCTATCCACCAAACGAGGCCTGTAATGTTGTGCGAGGATCCGTAACTATATACAACGCCAGCAATTGATGACGTCGCTGACCTCACCAAGCCCGTGAGAAGAAAGGCGCTGCTATGTGTTCGTGCTAGGGCGGATGGATGGGGAGAGGACCTGGTGGTGGTTAGCGTCATTTGAGACACTAATCATTCCGGGGGTGTGGAACTTACAGGTTTGTCAACACCAGCTGTGCGGGAACAACAAATGTCGAAGTTCCGACCATAAGAATCTGGGCCAAGACAATGAGAAACCATACCCAAAAGCCCTCCTTACCTGCGGGTGGAGCTTTAGTAGACGGCGCGGCTGCGATGTACGGAATGATGAAGTAAAGCACAGGCATGCCCATCATGAAGGTCCGCCACATTTTCAGCGTCCCCAAGCGGCGGTTGATGCGCGGGTATATGAACAATTGCGTCGGAAGTCCCATCACGCCCACGATGAAAAGAGACCACATGATGCGATCGGGCTTCATTCCGGCGCCGCCTGAGAAGAAGAACGGCAATCGAGCTTGGTCCTTTGTGTCGACTGGATCGCTGAGGAAGCTCGTCCACAGCGTGTTGTAAGTCGTGATGTGGTACTCCTGAATTGCGTATGACACAAGCGTCAGACACATGTTCTTTGTGAACATGCGCTTCAGTGGGAGGATTCGCTGGGGCTTGGCGGGCTTCATCGATTCCGGGTGGTCCTCCGAGTCCCTCTCCTCAGCCGCCTCCGGATCATCGGCGATCATGCGGGACATTTCCTCGTGTGAAGCCTCCTCCTGGGCTACTCTACTCGCCGAAGGAACCTTTCTTCCAAACATCATTGCGCTGACCTTTCTCGTGAAAGCAATGCCTGGGTCGTAGCGATCTTTGAGCGGCTCGAGAGTCTACAGCAGAGCCAGACAATTAGCCACGGGTCTGAATGAAAGGAGTCGAGGGTCACGAACCTCCTCCAGGAAAAAGAAGACAGCGCCGAACGCAATCAGAAGGAAAAAACCGCTCAACAATGCAGGCGGTGCGTAAGGCCAAGCCTTCAGGAAAGCGTTGTTCCCGAACTTTTCAGGGTATTTTCCTGCGAGGTCCGCTAATTGTCCAGCCATGAGAGGACTGAACATCGCCGCGACGTTGAACGAGATTGGAAGCAACAAGAAGGCATGCGGCTGGTACCTTATTTTCTTATCAGAATTTTTTTGCCTTGGGACGTGTCTTTAAGAATCATGAACGAAGATTACGTACCTCTTTTCAGCTACAACCTCCGAGACCATGGTTCTTATGGTTGCGACATTGCCGTTGACGAGGCCTTCGAGAATGCGTAGAGCCAGCGCTTGCTTGAAATTGGTGATGAAGCCAAATGAAACGCAGCCAATCAGTGATCCAGCCACTCCCAAAAGGAGCACCGGCTTTCGTCCTCCTCGGTGGGAATCTGCCAGTCTTCCGAGGAACATCGACGAGAAGCATTGCGAGAGCATGAAGCTCGTCTGCATGTACGCAACTTGCCGAACGACCGCGCCCGAGTCCAGATTAGGGTCTAATGATTGAAGCTGGTAGAAAAGATATGTCTGTCACGGTCAAGTCAGTCTAATCGTTTCACAGGCCCCATCACTGTGCCGCCGGGACGTCACGTACAAGTAACGAGATGCTAACAACCGGCTCAGCAAATCGTAAAAAGCACAGAATGGCCAGTTGATCTTTTCTTGGGAGTGACCTCCATGTCACTTCATCTTTCTTTCCATCCATTGCCGGTGGGTTGCTGTTCCTGAATCCTGCTGAGGGGACGTGTGTGCTCGTAGTATGAGTTTCTTCCGTGGCGACATACAATGCTGCTATCACCAGTGGAAGATCGATGCAATGCCAGTAAACGAGACCATCCGGAGCGCTGAACGAGCTGAACACTTTGGTTCCAGGGAGGGGGAGCTAGCTGTCTGGCGGTAGACTGACTCGGAGCTCCCAAAACGGTCGCCATGGGTGTCTTCGGTCCGCTGTGGGTACCAGGCTGTGATTGAAACAACAGCACAAACCTTGCCCCTTCGGTCCGCTGCTGAGAGTTACGACAGCAGTCGCTAACAGGTGTCAGCCGAAGTCTCGGTGGTTGTGGTGTTGCAGTACCTGCCATCTGGGCTCGCGCAAACACTATCTTCGTTCATGTCCATTGAACGTATTGTCGACCAGACGATTGATTAGTCACCATGGGTAAGAGCAAGAGCGTGAAGTTTGCCAAAGACATGGAGCGGATGAAGTACAGCGCTCTTGAGGAGGCAGATGCCGACGATGAGCTTGACAGTCTCGACGGTATGGAGCTGGAAGGCCAGGTCGGTCATGGACACTCGCCCACTTTTCCCGATGAATGGAATCACGATCGGATGCTTTGGGATCAACGGCTACGCCGGGTTCAGAAGATTGTATGGATCGAGGGCGTAATCATCGCCATGCTTTTCGGCTTGGTGGTGTTCCTGGGGCTTCAATTGGTGTGGCCAAAACAACGTGGTGTTCCACTTGGTGTTGATCCCAGTGGATTCGTTCCCCCAGGTATGAATTCTTTAGGCGAATTCAGACGTACGCCAGCTACTGATTAGGGAATGGAACAGAGGTCGGACAGCCTGTGAAATGGATGAAGTACGACGATGATACCGATCCGCACTTTTTCCCGCCCGATGTATTCGACAGCATTGAGAAAGTGCAAGCTGCAGCCAGAGATTTCAAGATGCTGCATAACGGTAACACAGGCTATTGAGCCGACCAATGTGTGAGAGCGTTGTTTACTGACTATTATCCTGGCAGCTTCAAATGTGCGGATCAATGGCAAGTACACGACTTACATGGATTTCAACGACGAAAGGCAACCGCTGCCGGCGTATGTTACCAGAAAAGGGTCCGAGTTGTACAGCATCAGAGCCTTCCATCAAATGCACTGCGTTGTAAGTCTACGTACACAGGAACCACCCATACATGGGTACTGACTGCATTTCAGTCTATAATCTTCGAAGACATCGGCTATCGAGTTCTCAACAAGACGTCTAAGTGGGAGCCTGGGCATGTTATCCACTGCCTGAACACGGTTCGGTCGGCTGTGACCTGCCTAGCCGACGCAACACCGATATCATACGTGCATGGAATGGGAGTTGGACATACAACAGACGATCAAAAGTCGCATTGCCGTGATTTCTTTGCGCTGAGGGAATGGGCTCACGACCCTGTCCGGGCAGTGCAGTGGAAGAACGTGGCACCGGAAGACGAGAAGGACCGGTACGAGCAGATTTTGCCGTAAAGCGACCACTACCCGGGGGTCAAAGCGTCTGGCAGGCTACCGCTAGACCCCCTACTCACGTAGGGGGCGAAAATACTGGGTTTCCATGCAAGAAACTGGTTTCCACCCCTAATATCACTAATAACTCTATAGCCTTAACCCTAAAAAAACCCTTTTATAGCTTATAATTAAGCTTAAAAAATCGTAAAAATTCCTATATAGATATTATACTTATATATATTATAGTTACTTAAATATTAATAAACTTAGTTTATATAGAGCTTAATTATAAGAAATCTATAACCCTAACCCTAATTCTAAATAAGTAGTTTTTTAAAAGGATTTTTAAGTAGAATTACTATATATTATATTAACTAAGATAATCTATTAATAAATTAATATTATATTAATATCTTAGATTTCTTAGTTTCTCTAAGGATTTTAGTTTTCTAAAGAATTTCTTAGAAAAAATAAATTCTTAGAGAAAAGTTACTATTAATATTATATTTATTTAGTTTACTATAAAAACTTATAGTATAAATATATAAATATATAGTATTAAAATTTATTTAAAACTTTATAATAGAGATTATAAGGGTTAGGGTTATAGTTATATATAAATAAAGAAATATATTTCTACTAATAATAAAAAATAGCTATATATATAGCTATATACTATATATAACTAATATAACTATGATGGAATTTTTGCGATTTTTAGAGCTTAATTATAAGCTATAATATTATAATTTTAAAACTAGGGTTATAGAGTTATTAAAGATAACCCTAGTGGAAACCAGTTTCTTATATAGAAACCCAGTATTTTCGCCCCCTACGTGAGTAGGGGGAGTTTTACGCTTGACGCAGGCTGACTAACGCCCCCGGGTACCTAGGGGTCCAAGCAGCGCAGGCTAACGCTAGCCCCCCTACTCATATAGGGGGCGAAAAAACAGGGTTTCTACGCAAAAAAGGGGGTTTCTACCTATATCACTAAAAGTAGTATTTTTTAGTATTAGCCCACTAAATTAATAACTTTTTATAATATAATTTTTAGCCTTAACTATATTATATAGTAATAAAAATAATATTATTATATTGCTCTTAAGTAAAGCTATCTAGCTATATATATAATATCTATATATTTTATATAAGTGTTAATAAGTTATAGAAGATAACTATATTATTACTTTCTATATTATTAATAATATATTTCTATTTCTTTATTACCTATATTAATAGAGGTATTATTAGAGGGTTACCCTCTATAATATTATTAATATAGAAGTATATTAAACCCTCTTATAGAGCGAAATAAGGTGCTTAGTGTACTACTACTAGCGCTAATATAGTTAGTAGGGCTAGTACTAATAATAGTAGTAACTTAGGCTTATTAGTATTAATAATATTATTATTAACTCTAAAGTTACTAACTAAATTAATACTTAAAGTAGTACTATTACTATCCTCTTTAATAGGGTTATTAATATTATTATAGATATTTAGGTTACTATTATTAATATAATATCCTCTTATAACTAATATCTCTTTAATATTAAGGTAGCTAAGAGGCTTTATATAATACTTAATAGTATTTAGGGTCTCTTTTAGTAGTAGTATAAGGTTAGGATTAATCTACTACTTAGGTTTAAGTAGCTTATACTATTATAAGTTTTTTATATTAAATAGTATATAGTTATTAATCTTACTAATATAAGTAAGTTACTATTTAAAATTTAATTATTTTATATACCTATTAATTAGTTAGTACTTTATAGCTATATACTCTACTTATACTTCTTTCTCCTACTTCTTAGCTTCCTTTTTTAATATAGTATATTATTACTTAACTTCTTTTTTAGTAGCCTTAGTAACCTATATCTCTTATTACTATATAATCTCTATAAATATTATACTTATTATAAATAAGTACTATAGTTTAATACCTTACTAAGTCTATTACTTATATTACTATAACTTTATCTAAGTATTTTAGTTAATAATATACTTCTAGCCTCTCTTATAGTATAGATTACCCTCTAAGATTATAAACTTTATTATTTTATAACCTCTCTAAGTAAAGGAACTTTATTTAGTATTATAATATTACTTAATAATATTAGTTTATAGTATAGCCTTCTTAAACTTATTATTATCTAATAAGTAATAGAGGAAGTAGCTAAATATATTAACTTAAATTAATTATATATATTTAACTAATTAAGAGAGGATTATATTATCTCTAATTAGCTAGATACTTAACTTTTTAAATTTTATTATAATATTTAGGTATATAAATATAATATCTATTATTTAGTAAAAGTTACTAATAAAGTCTCTATATATAAATATAAGAGTACTATTTTATATAGCTTCTTATAGTACTATTTAATAGGCTTTCTTAAATAGCTAGAAGACCTTTATATCTATAAACTAAAGTAGATATATAGTATAAGGGGGAAAAAACCTAATAATAATATTAAAATTAATATAGTATTTTATAAGCTTTAGGCTAATATACTTAGAGAAGCTATCTAAAAGGAGTAATTAATATAGCTTTATACTAGCTTCTTCTTAGAGTATATTTCTATATAACTTAGTATAAGTACTTAGTATTATATTATATATCCTAAACTAATTAGAGTAGCCTCTATATATATTAATACTAAACTATAACTTTATAGTATACCTAAGTTATTAAAACTTTACTAACTTCTTAAATAAGTATATATTAAAGTACTTAATATAATCTATTATAATCTCTTAATTAGAAAAGGTAGTTAGAAACTATATAAAGTAGATACTTTTATTAATATTATAATTAGCTTAAGTAGTAATTAGCTATATCTTAAAAATAAAGTAAGCTAGGATAGTATCTTTAATAGTATTACTATTACTAATTAAAGTATATAACTCTCTATTAATTAGATTAATAACTTTATATAGTTTATTCTATTTTTACTATCCTTAGAGTAAAATAATATATATATAGCTACTAAGGTAGTTAATATAGTAGCTAGACTTATTAATATTCTAGATCTTAGAAAGCTTAAGTTTATAATCTTAAGTTATAGCTTTATACTAATTAAAGAAGTTTTATATTAGTACTAAGTTAAATTTAGTACCTTTTTAGTAAACCTTAATAAGTTTAATCTTTAATTCCTTTTAAAACTCTAAGTAATTAGTCTTTTAGAACCTTATAAAGTACTCTAAGATAGGCTTTAAACTTTAGCTAGCTTAGAGGGTATTAGCTATCTTTTTAATAATAAGTAAAATAGCTAAAAAGTTAGTAATATTAAGCTATATAATAAATATTACTAAAGCTAAATTTTTAATTTCTATTAATAACTTTAGCTAGTTACTCTCTTTAGGTAGTATAGAGATATTATAACTAGTCTAAAGAGCTTTTAGATACTTCTTTATTACTATATAAGATATCTTATAGCCCTTAGTAATAGCTTAGATTAATAGTACTATAAATAGAGGTTTATTAAAGTAACTAAAGTAGAGGGCTTAATATTATATAGTATATAATACTTATATAGCCTATTTAGTAAGTATTAAGTTAGTATTACTCTAGTAAGGTATCTTAGTAACTAAGATTAAAAGAAGTAATTAAAAAAAACGTAGTTTTAGGTTATAATATAGTCTTAAAAAAGATATTTTTTAGTAGTAAAATAAGAAAAATATAACTTTTATACGACTAGCTAGAAACCCCCTTTTTTACGTGGAAACCCCGTTTTTTCGCCCCCTACGTAAGTAGGGGGAGTTTTGCGCTTAACGTGGCTGACTAACGCCCCCAGGTAGACACGCATTAGTTTGCCCTATTTCACAGCATTGCGGGTTAAGACGTAGATGCATCAAAGAATTCAGCGTTATGTAGACAGTATTCACATTAGTATTTGATGAGCATGAACACTTTCCGCAGGAGCTTGCGTCAAGGATACAGGGAGAATATTGAATCGTCATCAATGTCTATCGGTACGTGAAACAACCATTCTTGCAGAGGCCTATGGAAGCATGTTCAACGTGATACCCGGGTTCTGCGAATCTAGTCTAATGCCATGTCTAAGCTTTTCCTGATGTGTGCCGTGATACCATCAATCTGCGAGCGAACTAGTCAACAAATAGATTCGTCAACGAGGAAATTTGTGCAAACTTACATATTCCTGATCGAAAATGCTGTAGTGATTTCCGGCCGTCTCAATGACTTGCTCCACGAAGCCCTCCTGCATGTCCTCCCAACCGAGCTGCGGCAGAAACCTGGTTCGATCGAGCGGACACTTCTCGCCAGGATCAGCCATCGGCACCATATCCTTCGCTCTGATCAAGATCGCGTGCGGTGGCGTTGGGTCAACGCCGTATGACCGCGCCGTTCCAAGGACTCCCGTTCTCGGCATGGACCACTTTGGAGGGTCCCACTGATCCGAGAGGCATGTCGCTCTCATGAGCGCTGTCATCAACTTGTCACGGGTCTCTTCGTTGACGCCAGGCAGAGCTGGCGCGTGGTGGAGTTTCGCGGGCTCTTTTTGGGCTTCGGGTCGTGGGCATCGTGGGTAGACTGAGTCGATGAGAATGATTCGTGATACGCGAAGGCCGCGACCTGACGTAGCCAACATGTGGGCGATCTGGACGGAGAGAACGCCTCCAAAAGACCAACCTAAAAGAATTTTCGGTTAACAACAGGCGCGGTGCGTCGCCAAGATCTACATACCACCCAGTACTATCTCTCCCCTCAGCATTACCCGCTTGATTAGGCGGACATACGCTTCAGCGATGTCCCGAACGCTTTGCCATCCACCGATACCATCGGCGTCGAACTTTGGATCCCAGATACCATAAACCTTCCGTCCTAGAGTGCCGACTTTGAAATAGCTTGTCAACAGACCGCTCGCATCGTGGATGAGGAAGATCGGTGGCGGCTCGCTGCGAGAGCGCGGGAAGTCTTGGATTAGGACCGGATTGGCGGCAGGCATCGCGGCGGCTGAAATGCTGTACGTTATGAAGTCCCAAGTGCAGTGTGTGAGCTGGGAGGAGGAGTCCAGGTAGGAACCAGAATGATGATCAAAATGTGAGCTTGGAGGTGGCTCCAGCGATGCTTCACAATGTTGTTGGTGACATTCGGGCGGGGAACTGTTTGGTCGCCAGGACGTTGCGTGAACCCTGAACGAGGATGTCTCCTACAACGGATCCCAGACCACAGCAGAATCCAATCTCTGTCAGCTTCCCCATTGGTCTGTCTTTTACAGCTCCGAGTCCTTGGAAGAGGGTGGCATCCGCGGTCCGAAATGCTGTTCAAACTTTAATCTGGCTGCACACAGTTGTAGGCTCAGTCCGGCATGAGTTAGGAGTACCCACCGCCCTCCCAACTCATCGTCTACCCCTGCTCGTCCCATTGTTTGGCTTTCACCAAGACGAACTAGACGCAAGATTTGAGTGAAGTGAGTATTGTCATTTTTAACGGCCTTCGGCGTCTTTTAGCCTAAGCTTACGATTTCACAGGCGCTAAAGAGCAACTCAAGACTTCGATATGGAGAAACACACACTCCTGAACGAGCAGCGAGAAAGCGAAGAAACGACTGCAGGACGTAGCAGCTACCATGATGAGACAGACTCCGTCGAATACACCTCCGAGGTGATCACCAAGCGCAAAGCTCACCGTAGCCGCATATGGTCGGTCATCGGCAAAGCAGCTCTAGTCCCGGCCGCCTTTGCCATCTTCTACCTCGGCCGCGCAACCCACGACATGACACCATCGCGGCCTCCCGAGCCCATCTCTCTCGGAAAGTGCTCGCCAGACTGGAAAGAGTCGAAAGCCCGGGGCTGCGTCTACGACTTTGTACTCTCGACGTGGATGCATCCGAAATGCTTCAACGAGGAGATGCACGAACGGTACTTGGGCTACATGAAGTGGCGGAACACGACCTTCTGGTACGAGCGGGAGCGAATCAACGAGGTGCCCTTTGACGTGGCGGCGAAGGGGGAGCATGGGGAGATTTTCACGGACGGCACGGTTCACCACATGCACTGCAGCTACGTGTGGGACAGGATCACGTATGCTTCGCACTTCAAGCCGAGAGTGCTGGATTCGCTGTGCAGAGACCCTAAGCACGTCGAGCATTGTATCCTGTACAATGGCATTCCTCAATCTTGGGAGATTGACCTGCCGAACATTACGAGGGTGTACAACGAGCCTCATGAGGTGGATTGTCTGATCGGATGAAGTTGATGACGGTTTGGCTGGAAACGTCTTCCATTCAGCAGAGCGTGCAGTGAAGAGGTCATGATGTTGCATCAAAAGCCAGTTCTAGTTTGTTTCAATGCATGCCCCTGTCCATATCTTTACTGTCCAACGGCAATAATGCACATCTCGCTACTGAGACTCGAGGGTGAACGGTGTGTAAAGTGTATCCTCTGCGGTGTTGTTCACAACATGATGAAAATTGTCTTAAATAACAGTAACTACAGACCTTCTGCAGTAAGGTTTTGTGAAATCGCAATATGCCATGTGCCTATCCTACGATAAGTCTAACGATTGCTTCGCTACATGCAACAGAAATTCTAAGCTCATTCATCCAAGGTTTGGGGAATTCTCAGGCCAGTCCAATCTCTTCATCTGGGGACAACTTCGGGAACGGGATGATCTCAGTGTAGTTGTCGTGCTTCGCCCCTTCAGGCGCCAGATTCTTGTACCGCACGCCTCTGACAGGGTCGTTTGCCCACTTCCTCAGAGCAGACCAGTCTCTGCACATAAACTTCTGGTCATCAGTGACATGCCCCACCGCGAACCCATTAACATAGGTCATCGGAGATGCATCTGCAAGGCACATGATTGCTTCGCGAATGGTGTTGAGGCAGTGGGCGACATGTTGAGGAGCCCATTGTGACGAGACGTTGTGAACCCGGTGGCCGTATTCTTCGGTAATGGAAATCTGTTGCCACTCCAGTCAGTAAAACTCGAAATGACCGTCTCATATTTACAAACTTACTAGGCAGTGCATTTGATGGAAAGAGCGGATGATGTATGTTTGTCGGTATGACACCGTTGAATAGTACGCCGGCAGCTTTGCAACGGTGCCGTCAGGCTTGTGCCAATCCGCCCAGTTATCGTTGACCAATACGTTTGAAGCTGCTCGAAATGTTAGCAGTGATTGACCCAGCAGCGACCACGCAAAGGCTTACAGTTATGCAAACTCTTCAGCTTCTTGACAACCATTTTCGTCTTATTCAGGTCGTAGAATGTGTCCTCTTCGATGTAGTACGGAGAAGACTTGTCGAAAATTGTCCATCTTCCTGGTTCGCCGATTTCTGTGGCACTGTTAACAACCTGCCCTCCCAATCACGCACGCGTCTTTGCATTCTTACCTGGCGGGACGAAGCCGCTGTGGTCGCTACCGATGTGCCCGCATTTATGGGCATCTCTGACGGACGTAACACGATCAAAGACAGCAAATACAGTTACTAGCATGAGTGTCACGACTGTAATGAGCAAGCTCACGCGCAGGCACCAGACGTTGCCTTCCAAGGTTGCGATTTGTTCGCGCAAGTTCTCCTCCGAGCCTTCGGATTGTCGCTCATCGTCATCGGATTGGCTGGTGCGAACTTCTTTGTACGCGTGCGTGGGCGGCCACAGTGACTTCAATCTATCCATCTTCTTTTGCAGTTTGTCTCCGTTAGTTGTCGTGGGTTGTAGTCGCTGGGTGTGAGCAATCAGTGCCGCGACTGTTGATCGGGTTGGGGGAAATCACCGCAAGGATCGCGAATAGTGTCAGCTACAAGCTTCTTTCAGCACTCGAACAGAGCCAAAGTGCCTGGATGCACCCCAGATTGGTTACTGTGGTCGTCGGCCGAGGCGCTGTTAGGTGGAAGTCGAGTCAGGGACAGGGGCAACATAAAGACTGCCGGACCGAACATGGCCTCCTATCAGAAGCCCCAATTCGCGCGGTCCGAACTCATTTCACCCCCCAAAGGTTTCCGCTATGGAGACAGATTGGGATCCCATGTCACTGAACGTCGACCCTGGAGCGAGCAGCGCGTCATGGGCATTGCAGCTGAATGTTGAGACTGCATTCTCAGAAACGCATGCAATTCAGTTCGAATTCTCGGTTAGTGGAAAACATCTAGAAACATTCTGGTCGAATTTGAGTTGTCCAGATTCGATACGTCAATATACGTCGTGTCACTACGTCCATCATGGCATCAGATGGCCTCCCAAAAGAGGACAACACGCAAGCACCAAACGACACCAGGCCAACACCGATCGCAATCTGCGGCATAGGCCTAAGACTCCCAGGCGGGATCAACACCCCGACATCTCTCTACAACTTCCTCATCTCCCGCAAAGATGCCCGCTCGAAACCCGACCAGCCGCGGTACACGTCTGAAAACCACCATTTCACAGCAACCGGAAAGTCAGGGTCACTCCCGACGGAGGAGGGCTACTGGCTCTCTAACGACGATGTCACAAAATTCGATCCCTCATTATTCTCGATGAACCCAAAAGAAATGTCAAAGCTTGATCCGCAACAGCGACTGTTACTGCAGGTGGTCTGGGAAGCGCTGGAGAGCGCTGCAGAAACGGAATGGCAGGGCCAGAGGATCGGGTGCTACGTGGGCAGCTTTGGGGACGACTGGCGGGAGATGCACGCCGTTGACACGCAGGACGACGGCATGTATCGTCTCACGGGGTACATGGACTTCGTCCAGGCGAACAGAGTATCTCATGCATTTGATCTGAGAGGGCCAAGGTGAGCCTGCCGACGCGTAACTATGATCACCATCACTGATTCTGTGGTAGCATGACCGTTCGCACAGCGTGTTCGGCGGCAGGACTCGCCGTGCATCTTGCTTGCCAGGCCATCCGCGCCGGCGAGTGCGACTCAGCTGTTGTGGCAGGGTCCAATCTCATGTTGTCGCCAGGCTTCACCAAGCTCATGGCTGAGCAGAGCGTTTTATCTCCAGATGCATCCTGCAAGACTTTTGACTCTAGCGCCAATGGTTATGTACGCGCTGAAGCTGTCAACTGCCTGTTTGTCAAAAGACTCGACTTGGCAATCAGAGACGGGAATCCGATTCGGGCGGTGATTCGCGGGTCAGCGACGAATTCAGACGGCAAGACGCTCGGTTTGACAACACCGAGTGCCCAGGCTCAGCAGGAGTTGATTCGCGATGCATATCGCTTTGCCGGCATTCCAGAGAGTGACATGTGGCAGACGGCGATGGTTGAGTGTCACGGGACTGGGACGTCTGTTGGAGATACCATTGAAGCATGCACTGTTGGAACAGTGTTCGGTGACAAGGGCATGTTGATCGGCTCGGTAAGTGCTGCATGTCTTGGGAGATGCCGTGCGTGCTAATTATCGTTCAGGTAAAACCGAACCTGGGACATTCAGAAGCTGCTTCGGCCATCACCAGCATCGTAAAGGCCGTTTTGTCCCTTGAAACTCGCACTATTATACCCAATATCAAATTTGAGAATCCAAGCGTTAGCAGTAAGTACAAAGATTCAGAGGCACAGGAGGAGTTCTGATGGGTCATACTTGCAGTACCGTTTTCATCAGCTGGTCTGAAAGTCCCGACCGAACCCACGCCTTGGCCCGAGGATCGCGCTGAGCGGATTGGGGTGAACAGTTTTGGCATCGGAGGAACCAACGTACATGTAAGAAACCTTTCTCTCTTCTCATTCATGGCAAGATCTCTAAACCGTTCAGATAATTCTAGAATCGGCGGCTTCAGTGACAAGGCCGACGGCCGCCCGGGGCCCCGGCAATATGGATACCCCGCCGCCGTCTCCACCCCTCCGAAGAGAGCCGGCAACTCTGCTCCTTTTCTCAGCTGGCCACGAGGAGTCCCTTAAAGCCATGGTGAAGGGTTACAAGACATTTCTGAGTATGCAGCCGTCCAGGCTGGAGGGGCTTGCTCACACTTTGACACATCGCCGTTCACATTTGGGCTACCGGACGTTCACTGTTGTGAC